AGACTAAACATTTGTGTTATAATCTGTAGTCATTCTAGAACAAAAAAAGCATAATTTAAATTTATTTACTAATTTTTGATGGTGGTTACGAGGCCCCATTGAATTTGAATAGAGAAAATAACAGAAAAAATATACAGTTTTATTGAAAATAAATGCTTGAAATGTATTTATGAGGTTTTAGAGATTACACAAATATTATTTGAGATTTTTGGGATGAACAATAGTTTTTCGGTTATGACATGAAAATCATTTCGCACTTGGACTGGTAACGAAACAGACTTGATATTTTCACAAACAAATCTATAACAAAAATACTTCATTAAAAAATCGGATTTTTTTTGTACGAAAGAGTTGTAATCTTTACTAAAAGTCTACCAAATTTTGTGGAGATACACTTACTGCATTAAAAGTTATAGTATAGATATTGAACTCATGTATATTATACTGAGCCCATTGTAAAAGGGTTAAAGAGCAAAACATCAAAAAAGATCATTAACTCAAATATTTATTGTGGCCAAGTTGTTTTTGACTTCAATTAAATAACATTGTAGTTAATATCAGGAACCCTGTTATGTTTGTTCATTTTTAACCTGGTGAAGTTTGTATATAGCCCAACTTCCTATAGGTTTAATGGAATAATAACCTTGTATTCCTTTCAGAATGTGAAGTTCTGGAGGCCGTGGCACAGTGTTCTTTCAGTGGCCGGACAGACCGTGAACTCTCCTTCAAAGAAGGCGATACTGTACAGTTATTTAATCAAGTTTCCAGTAAATGGTGGAGAGGGAGTTTGAATGGGAGAGAAGGACTTGTACCAGACAAATATATATTTCTGAAACTTAGGTAAGAATTAGCCATTACTGTTTTTATAGAACTAGTGAAGAGATAAACTTTTGTGAACCGTATTAAAACATGAGTCTTTCTATTCATCCACTTTCATAGGGTTTGTTGAGAAAGTGTATTTAAGCTGTAGTTTTTGAGCTAACTCAGATGTTACATTATCAGAATGCTAGACATACAACTCTGTACTGGTTTGTAATGAAACATTAAGATGGTGATTGTAATACCATATCAAATTCTCATGCCTAAACACACACAATCAATCATTGGGTCATAGTCTCTATCATCAATTAGCTTGGCTGAAGAGGGTTGATGTTGCTTGTTACAGCAATTTTCAACTGCTCAAGGTATGGATATTTGAATCATAAGATTTTCAAATTACAAGTTTCATCAAACCCATTGTGTAGTAAAACACATAAGATAATATATGAATTTTCACTGCAATACGTTTAGTGATTCACAAGATCTGATATTTTGTAGAGATGAAGACAAGGACAAGCTGAGCCAAGATGGGAGTGAAAAACGTCGTACTAGCAGCAGTAGTGATTCTCTATCAGGGTATAGTACTAGTCCCAAACCCTCTATTGATGCACATATACCCGAAGAAGGGACCACAGGCTCTGAATTTTTTCCTCCAGATTCACTTTCAGCATTTCCTTCCAGCTCAGTGTCCAGTTCTTTACATTCCCCCCACACCCACAATCGACGTCGTCTCAGTCTCAGTCCATCCACACTACGTAAAGTACAGCTAGCAGCAGCTGGCGAGTTTGATCAGCCTAAATTAGTTCACTCCTGTAGTGTAGGAGAAGCAATGGAAGGCATGGTAAGGGACGAAAACCTTCTTGGTGAGTTTTACTTAGATGATCAAGAAGGAAAAGGTTTGAGTGGATTAGAGGCAGACCTGCATGACATGCTATCCAGTTCATCTCATGCAGAGATCATTAAGGAAAAGAATATACTAGATGGATCTAGATCTCATGATTCTCTAAAACAAAACCCCTTTTCCTTATCCAAGGGCACACCAGATCTTGTGAAAGATCTTCCTAATAATTCTCCTAGTCCTGAATTGCCTATAAAAATTTGTGCTATGGAAGATGAAGATGAGGAAAGACCATCTTCCCGTTCCAGCATTCAGAGTTGTGAGAGTCCAGAGTTGACCACAGCAGAGAGATTTGCAATGTCACACCAGGGTACCTTAAAAAAAGGTGCAGTATCACGTATATCATATTCTGGCCTCGAGTCAACCTTGCCGGCCAAGGTTTGGGCCAAAACTCAAAACATTACGGACAGTTTGGATGGTTCAGATCCATCTGAAAGATGTTCAGATGTTTCCCAGGTGACAAATGAAACAAAAGATCAGATAGAACAAGATTTTGTGAAATCTCCCCCAGAAGTCCCTTGCAAACCTGTGTATCTAAAACAGGACCTAGAAATGCCAAAAAATTCTGCAATTGATCAAAGCCCACAAGTCTTGTATGCAAAAGGTATTTCAAATTTCAAACCTCCAACTAAAATAAAACCTCCTGTGATGAAAAAACCTACAAATCCTTTATCATTAGAGCCTGTTAAATTCCAACAAAAAGAATACAAGCAAACTTCATGTTGATTGGAAACTGTCTTTGTGTTGTCCAGATCAGGTGCTGAAAAAAAACACACACTAATATGATTGTTCCTTTTTTTAAACTTTGAGTTTATAAAAACAATCGTTCTTAAACACAAACAATAGTTCGTATTACAAGATTGAGAAGTTTGAAGGAAAAGGGGAGCTAGTAAGTTCTATTAAGACCATATTGTGTAGAGGTGAGGCATTGATATAAAGTGATATTTCTGTCCAAGGATACAGAGGGTTTAGTGAAGCTCACCTCATCAACAATACATTCAAATGAAAATTGGACAAAAGTAACAACTTTATAAAAACGAAAGTTACTGATTTGTTCTTTTATTTTTAGATGTTTCAATTTAGCTGTGAGAGAATCAATCAGTATTTATACATTTGATGTAAATAGTTTTAACGTGATTGTAACAATGTCAAAATCAGACTTGTCATAAACACTCATCATGGAGTCCTGCCATCTATTAAAAAGTATCTGAACAATAGTTAGTTATGGCAGCCTTAAACTTGGTGTGTATGTGAATTCTTATAATTGACTCTCTAGTATATTAAGATGTATACAGTTTGATTATCAGATATTGTCCAATTTGATGAGCAAGACTTTTAAAATCACTTTTTTTGTTGCTTTACACATAGGGCAGGATAGACATAAAGCTGTGTGTAATTAATATTGATGTTTTTGTTAAATAATTATGAGCCAAGAGTTCTAGGGAAATTGAGTAATTTTATATAATCAGGATATTTTAGTAAATTATAGTGGAGAACAATTATTGGTATTTTTTTTAATACCAAAAATTCATTACAGTGATTGAAATAATCTTATTTTGTAGTACTGGAGATCTTGTGTAGATTTTCTGTTGGAAAGTTATTATACAGTACAATGTAGATTAAAAAAATATTTTTTCAGGTTTGTAATAGCTTTATTTACAGCATCAGTAAAAGATAATAAATTCTTCCCGACAAGTTTGATGGAAATGTATACATTTTACGATCTAGTAAAACCTTGTGTAATAGGGATTTGACACATTGTGCTGAATACCTCATTTCTTTGTATCATAAATTGCAACTTGTATTTCAAAAACTATTTATTCTAGTTGAAATGACTAGTTTTTAAGTTGGTGTTTATTACCACCTCCTTCCTTGCAGGACAGACATATCAACTACTCAGATGTTTTTGTGGTTCTGTAAGATTTCTCAATTTTTCTAAAATACAAAACAACTTAGAAAAAAAAGTGCTATATCATAGTTCTAATCCCTACCACCCAGTTTAGATCGAAGGACCTCTACATTCATTGCAGAGAATAAAAAAATTGAGTGTTTGTTATGGACTTGTTTCTAACCAGTTCGATGTGGATTTTTTTGTTGTTGTTTATTTGTTTAATGTTGGAGACTACGTAGTAATTTTTGCTAACATATCACACAGCAGTAGTTTATAAATAGACAAGTGTGTTAGGGAAAAATGAAAGTGTATCATAGTAGGAGTATTTTTTTGTTTTGGCTAAAAAGTTCCCCAAAAGTTAATTTTTGTGTTAGTTTATGAAAAGCAAAGTACAATATTCTTATTTTCACTATAAAGTTTTCTACTTGTAGACAGACATTAAAAAAAGCAGGAATTTTTATCTGATGTATTAAGTGACTGTAAGTAACTCTTAAGGAAAAGCTTTTTTCTGGAGCTCAAGTTGTTTTTCATATTTAATGGAGAAAAGTATCACGATTTTAATCTGATCTGTGGTCAGCAACAATTTTAAAGTACAGATAATGATTAGTGTGTGTAAGTTTTAAAACTACTTTTGCTTCACTGGTAGTTTGATGCCATACTAGTTTGTCCAGTACATTGCAAAAATAAAAGCGTAAGGCAGAATTTATGACCAATTCATAAAGTGTTTAATAGTGTATCCTGATAATCAGGTTTGACCGAGACTGATTTTTAATCTTGACTTCTAATTTCTATATGATGTTTTAAGACCCTAACCAATAACAGGGCAGAAAAGACAACTAGTATTTTATTACCATATTCAAGTTTAAAGTAAACTACGAAGCTTATAAAGAATCCATAAGAGAAAAGCTTTAACTTTTTGAACTAGTTGTTTCACTGACTTTTTAAAACTATTAGTTAAATATCAAGAACCAATTACAACAGATGCAATGAAAGAAAACTTTTCAAGATGAGAAGTGTCATGGTATTTGATATTTGGTACTTATCAAACAGACGGGATTAGTTGGATAAGTTTGTTTTTTTTTACAGTGAGAAGGGGGGACTTTGCATAAGTTGGAGAGGATTTAAGAATAGAAAAAAACTAGAATTTTCAATTTGTATGTTAGGCTTGCATTTATCCTTTTTGTTTTTTTTTCTTGTACAGGTCTCTGATAAATAAACAGGTGCTTGTAATATCTGTTACAGTGAATTTCTTTTTCCTAATATTGTTTAGAACAGTTAAATTGTATAAAAGAAGTAATGCAATGTTTGGTGGATACTTCATACATGCTGGATCTGTTTAATGATATATGTACAGTAGCTGTTGTATGAAACGTGCGTGTCACCTACAGAAAATATTTGAAAAGACATTTCTATAAAAGTATTTAGTATTATCTCAACTGTACCCCACAAAGTTCAGGGCAATGCTGATCACGGGAAGGGCAAACCCCTCTGTCCCTCAACATCTGGAACTGCAAGCATTTTGAGACTGAAGTCATGATCCTTGTAATATAGAGTTCACTAGCCCACACTAAGTTCAAGACAAATGTACTTAATTGTGAATTTCATGTTCAATCTTGGCACCAAGTTTGATAAGTAAAAACTTCAAGTACATTCATTGATTCACACCTTGTATTTACTTATGAACGATCAAAATATGAGTGTTGTGCTACCACAGGTACATGTTGAAATGTTTAGATGAGAGAGTGATGACTTTACATTCCTATAGGAAGTTACTAGTGTTGGCTTATTTGAACAAAACCTTATCACACAGTTAAAAAACAGGATTCATTATTGTTCTGCTACAATACATAGAAAATAGCGAAAAACTTAAATCGTTATTTAGGTGTAAGTTTCATTCATTCATTGTGTGATAGATTGTGCCTCCATTATAACCATCAAAAAGTTCAGTTGAGAAAAGCATTACTCTGTGTTCTTAATCTCTTTAATTTGTTCAGTGAGAGATGAAAAATACAGCTAAGACAGGAGTGATCATTAAATTTATTATGCAAGAAACAAAAATCCAATTGTTTTTTAGGTTAGACTTATTGTCGTGTTTAGTTTTTCAAGATTAGACTCGATGCCATCTTTAGTCGTACAAAGAAGTTCTAGGTTTTATAGTTTATGGTGCTGGAAGTCAGCAGTGTTTTTCTTTATGTGTATCTGGTAAATGATCTTTGAATAAAAATTTTCTGCATGAACCACAGAGAAAACACACAAACTTTGGTAACTTCACTTAGACAAAACAAAAAAAAACCTACTCAAGAAATGTCTACTTAATGTTCATCTGGTATATAATAACATTTAAACTTTTTATTCTCTATCATAAATACCACATTTTAATCATGACTGTAACTTCTAAAAATCACAACTGTCATCCCAGATGGTATAACCATAATTACAGATCTGAGTGTTCAGTACGAAGAAGTGTTGCCCAAAGTTACATATCCTGAAAATCTACATCATTTTCGTGATTATTATACTGGTCCTTTATTTTCAATACCTGAAAGAAAAAAAAAGTCCGTTAGCTAGAGAACCTTCCCTCTTGTATTTGTCACTAAACTCTATGAAGTATTGGTTTACATGTGGCTGTACGTGAAAAATTTAAATCTGTTTATTAGGAAATAAGAAGCACCTATAAAATAATAACTGGTCTATTGTAAACATTTCATACCAAAACTGAAACCTGGACTTTAAAAGATAAAAATTGTTGAGATGTGTACATTAAACCATAGAATCACGTACCTGTAATAATTAGGTTTAAAAGGTCCTGCTTTGTTCAATCCCATGTATTTAGCCTGGTCATCTGTTAATTCTGTTAAGTGAGCATCAAAGCTAGGAAGGTGAAGACTGGCCACATATTCATCTGTTGAAGATAACAGATTTCTAATGTAAATCTTACCTCTTTCCATCAACAGTAACACAGAAAACTAAAAAAAGGGGCAATGAAGCACCGAAATGTAACAAACAAGGTGTTAAGAACTTCAGCTACATCCCGAATGGTTACAGTGACCACCAGTGATGCTTTAGTAACAACTTTACACCATCAGTGCAGTTATAAATAATTTATAAAATAAACAAACTGACTATTCACGACAGTGCTGTAAAAACACAACCATTAAACATGTCTTGTTTACACAAATCCATATGTTTTGTAATAAAAAGGTAAAGAATAACCAAGGTAATCTACAGATCTTCCACCTCCTCACAGAGAAATAATATTGGGCAAGAAATTAAATAATCATATATAAAGTAAATACTGGAGGTATACCACATGATTAAAAAAACCATTAATATGGGATAGACATTTTTAATTCTTTAAGATCATACATTGCCTAGTCCTCATGGTTTATACAAGATATAAAATAGTGCAAACATCATCATGTAATATCATTTACAGATAACACTGTGTAACAAACTAAGGAATCATACACTGTCCAGTCATTGTGTTTATAAAACAGTACAAACATCGTCATGTAATATCATTTACAGATAACACTGTGTAACAAACTAGGGAATCATACACTGTCCAGTCATTGTGTTTATAAAACAGCAAGCCAAATTCAGCCTATTAATTTTGATATACTTCAATAGATTCTAGGTAAAAGTACACTGTTAAGAACCAATTCCATAGATTTAGTGTAGTAACTGCTGTAGATACCATAGCTAGTAACCACCTCAAATAGACCACTTACCCATCTTCTTTGGAAGTAAGTACACATCACTTTTATATCGACCATTGGGAGCATTGTACAGTTCAATCAGAGCTAGGGCTTGTGAGGCAGCTGTTATTGAAACTACAAAAGATGGAATACTGGAACAGCTCAGATTCACGAGTCTGCCCTAAAATAAAATGTTTCTCCAGTAAATATTGAAAAAAAGATAAAAATGTTCCTAATCCAAAATATGACCTAGTGTAGTGAAGAAAAGTTACAAAAATATTTTGAAAATGGCTTTTAAACAACGGGAGCGAACAGGAGAAAAAGTCCATTTCTTATCAAGCGCATTAAAAGGTTATATATTTCATTTACACTATATTTAGAACTTGGAATACACTTAATAACAAGTTTAATATCTTAAATGATCTAAAGAGAAAAAATGGCAGCAGTTAGTGCTGTATTTTAAAAAAACATTTTAAAAAGTACCTTTTTCAGCATACACAACTGTAAAGACACTAAATACACCAATGAACGTTAAACTATTTAAATAAAACTCAGAAAATAATTCAAGAAAAAGCACTGAAAATGTACAAATACAAGAAAAACTTTCCATAATTTTATTCTGTAAACAACAAGAATAAATAATACTGAATATATTTCTCATAAACAGGATTGTTTGGTAGAAGGTTATAACAACATGAAAAAATGCAAAGTAACCTAAAAAGGCTGAATCTCATTCTTAAAGCAAGATGAAATTCTTACATTCAATATGTTCTTTATTATAAACTAAAACATTCTGTAAGTTCTAAAGAGATAACATTCACTACATGAATTTATTTTGTAGATAGATCAAACTTTTTGCAGCATCAATAAATACAATTTCTGGAAATTAATTTTGTAAATGGCAACATTGTACAGTATGTAAATTGTACATGTACACTTACTTGAATATATAAATGGAAATTCCCGTTTTTTTTTTGTCTCTTGAAGATAGTGGAGAATGCATGTTGCTTTTAACTTTATACAATAAATAATTGTGCATTTTTAAAAACATTGGAGTCATCAACTGATTTACAATAAACGTCAATCAAATATATTGGTCAATAAATACGTTAAAATTACCTCTGCAATAAGGATAATCCTCTTTCCATCTGGCCAAATAATATGGTCTACTTGAGATCGAACTTTTTCCCAAGTCAGATCGGGTGTTCGTAAGCTTTGCTTGAAAAACAAAGTTTGAAAAACATAATGAACAAAAAGAAAAAAAATTCTTTCCAAGTTCTTATATTTCATATTCAATAAAAAACATTCAAATTAAGGTAAAAAGCAACAAATACTGAAATATAATAAAACAATTTGAGTGAATTTAGATAGTGAATTTCTTAACTAACCAGTGACTAGGATGTTACAGTCAGGCCTAACTAACTATAATATTACTTCAAAATTAAAATTGGTATCAATCAACTATATTTATAATTGAAATAAGCGAATAAGAAAACATTTACTGGTTAAAAATAACAAATAGTGGACTCAAAAAAGACAAGTCAGTAATTAACAATTTTCTTATTAATAGTTTTGTAAACAAATAAAGCTAGTAGAATGAGACAATCACTCTTTCTGCAGAGAATACAGTAAAGTATTTGAAATAATTACAAATTACATTAAGTTTGTGACTCACATTACACATGGTGCAACCCAACAGCTTCCACTCTTACCATTAGAGTTTAAAACATTTTACAAATCATTCAACCCAATACTGGAATTACCCACGTTACGGGTAATGCAGTGCAATACCTATCACATCAATCTCAGTATTGGAATGACCCATGTTACGGGTAATGCAGTGCAATACCTACCACATCAATCTCAGTATTGGAATGACCCATGTCAGGGTAATGCAGTGCAATACCTACAACATCAATCTAAGTATTGGAATGACCCATGTTACGGGTAATGCAGTGCAATACCTACCACATCAATCTCAGTATTGGAATGACCCATGTTAGGGTAATGCAGTGCAATACCTACAACATCAATCTCAGTAATGGAATGACCCATGTTATGGGTAATGCAGTGCAATACCTACCACATCAATCTCAGTATTGGAATGACCCATGTTACGGGTAATGCAGTGCAATACTACCACATCAATCTCAGTATTGGAATGACCCATGTTATGGGTAATGTAGTGCAATACTTACCACATCAATCTCAGTATTGGAATGACCCATGTTACAGAGGATACAACCATTCTTCATTTTATCAATGTGATCTCTGTTCACCACGTTCTTGTTTCCTGTGAAATTAGTTCATGGTTACATCATTTATTACATTTGTAGCCGAGTATTTCATACATCTAGATTAAATACATCACTCTCAAAGCCTTTTGTATTCATACAAGTATGTGTAAAGACATCTCACAGAAGAATAAAGAATTTATTCACAGACAGCTGAACTGTAAAGAATAAATAAATAATATGTATGACAAATTTAATAGTTAAGGAACAAAAAAAAAGTGTAAACTTTCTCTTTTACATCAGTTAGTTTTTTGCTAAGATGATATCCCACAAAAACAAGATATAATTAAAGTACACAACATCACACCTACATATACAGTAAATTTCCTTATTCAGGCTTAGCAGTATCTTATTTCATCCAATGTCAAGACCATTTAAGACTAATAGTGGAAATGACATCAACTTCAATTTTACGTGTGTACAGATAGATATAAAAGGCAGCCTCTACTTTCATGAGGTATACACACACACACAATAGGATGCCATTCAAATATTAAAGCAATATAGCGTAGAATACCTGTTGCTGTGATAAGAATGTCGATGTTCCGAATGACTTCTGTGATTTTTACTACCTTGAATCCATCCATACTATAAAAAAAACAAAACAGAAACTCAAAATAATGCTATACTTATTAACAATGCATCTGGTACCATAAGAAGCTTTTACCATCTGAATGGTATGTTTACTAATAACATGATGAACCCATACAATAGAATTCAATAATTGCTAAAAACTAAATCTTCCAATAATGGTTGGAGACGGCTTGAATGGGTAATGAAGAAAAACTTTAATATAAGTTTAACAGCAAATGTTCAACATTTTGACAAGGTTTTGTCATCATCAGGTACCTTGTCTAAAC